AGCAGTTTGTGATATAGGCTCTACACCAGCACTGTGAAATAGGCTCTACAGCAGCGTTGTGATATAGGCTCTACAGCAGCGTTGTCATATAGGCTCTACAGAAGCATTGTGATATAAGCACTACAGTAACGTTGTGATATTTGCTCTAGAGCAGCGTTGTGATAAAGGCCCTACAGCGGTGTTGTGATATAGGCTCTACAGCAGCTTTGTGATATTCGCTCTGCAGCAGCGTTGTGAAATAGGCCTACAGCAGCGTTGTGATATAGGACTACAGAAGCATTGTGATATAAACTCTACAGCAGTGTTGTGATATAGGCTCTACAGCAGCGTTGTGATATAGGCTTAACAGCAGTTTTGTGAAATACGCCTACAGCAGCATTGTGATATAGGCCTACAGAAGCGTTGTGATAAAGGCTTAACAGAAGCGTTGTGATATAGGTCCTGCAGCAGCGTTGTGATATAGGCTCTACAGCAGTTTTGTGATATAGGCTCTACAGCAGCGTTGTGATATAGGCCTACAGCAGCGTTGTGAAATAGGCCTACAGCAGCGTTGTGATATAGGACTACAGAAGCATTGTGATATAAACTCTACAGCAGTGTTGTGATATAGGCTCTACAGCAGCGTTGTGATATAGGCTTAACAGCAGTTTTGTGAAATACGCCTACAGCAGCATTGTGATATAGGCCTACAGCAACTTTGTGATATAGGGTTAACAAAAGTGTTGTGATATAGGCCCTACAGCAACGTTGTGATATAGGCACTACAGCAGCGTTGTGATATGGGTTCTACAGAAGCGTTGTGATAAAGGCTTAACAGAAGCGTTGTGATATAGGTCCTGCAGCAGCGTTGTGATATAGGCTCTACAGCAGTTTTGTGATATAGGCTCTACAGCAGCATTGTGAAACAGGTTCTACAGAAGCGTTGTGATATAGGTCCTGCAGCAGCATTGTGATATAGGCTCTACAGCAGCGTTGTGATATAGGCTCTACAGCAGTGTTGTGATATAGGCCTACAGCAGCATTGTTAAATAGGCCTACAGCAGCGTTGTGATATAGGCCTACAGAAGCATTGTGATATAGGATCTACAGCAGTGTTGTGATATAGGCCTACAGCAGCATTGTTAAATAGGCCTACAGCAGCGTTGTGATATAGGCCTACAGAAGCATTGTGATATAAGCTCTACAGCAGCGTTGTGATATAAGCCGACGGCAGCATTGTGATTCAGGCCTACAGAAGCGTTGTGATATAGGCTTTACAGAAGTGTTGTGATATAGGCCTACAGAAGCGTTGTGACATAGGTCCTACAGTAGCATTGTAATATAGCTCCTACAGCAGTGTTGTGATATAGGCTCTACAGCAGCGTTGTCATATAGGTCCTACAGCAACGTTGTGATATAGGGTTAACAAAAGCGTTGTGATATAGGCCCTATAGCAA